CTGGCGCGGTCCCGCCGGCTGCTGGGCGAGGCCGGCCGCCTCCACCTGTGCCTGGCGTGCCGCAACGCGCAGCGCAGCGAGGCCGCGCGCGACAGCGTCCTGGCCGCGCACCCCGCCGCGCAGGTCTCCACCGTGGAGGTGGACCTGGGCAGCGTGGTGTCCGTGCTGCGCGCCGCCCGCGACCTCAGCCGCAGGTACGTGCGTCCTCAGCCCCGGCTCCCCCGCTGCCCGCCTCGGCCTCTGCTCCTCACCCCTCAGCTTCTCCTCCCTGCCCAGGTTCCAGCGTCTGGACTTCATCTTCCTCAACGCTGGCATCATGCCCAACCCGCACGTGAACTTCAAGGCCCTCTGCCAAGGCCTGCGCACCGGGTAGGTGCGGGAGTCCCCTCGGCTCCGTGTCACCCGCTGTGCTGGGATGCCCCAGCAGCTGCTCCTGCTGCTCCTCAGCCCATGGGTCCCTCCATGGGGAGGCTGAGTTGGCCAGCAGGGTGTCTTGCATTGACACCGCTGCAGTTGGGGCTGGACCACTTTCCTTGTCTAAAGTAGGGCTGGTTAATCCCCAAGTGTTGCTCCATGCTGAAGCTCTGCTGCCTTGTCTGGCTGGGGTTTTGGGAAACGAGCTTGCTCACTTGTTTTGGTAGCCCCTCTCCAGGGGCTGCAGTGACAAGGGTTGTGTATAGTGTGACCAGTGTTGAGACTTCAGCAAAAACAAAACAAACAAAAAAAATGGAATATTGAAGCTTTAAGAGACCAACAACTTTCTATGCATTAATAGACTACCCTGCAAGAGGAGGAGGAAGAAACCAGAGGGTCTCCCTGGAGTCTTTGAGTCTAGGGGTGTCTCTGATGTTCTGAGCTGGAGGAGCAAAGAGCAGCAGTTGTTCCTCTGCGGGTGTCTTCTCTAACTCCTTAACTCCCACTGACTTCCAGGAGGGTGCTCCACATGCTGACCACTGCGGAGGGGGTAATGACCCAGACAGATCGGCTCAACGGCGATGGGCTGCAGGAGGTGTTTGCCACCAACCTCTTTGGACACTTCATACTGGTGAGGCTCCATCAAAGACCAAGTTCTAGGTCTGCCTAACCTGGGCAGTGATGGATGCAGTAGGGTGCTGATGAATCAGTTCCCTCTTAGAGGTTCTGGTGTTTAGATGCAGATTGGAGCCTGTCTGGTAAACAAAAAATGACTGCTGTGTGGGACAACAAGCTTTATGCTTGTCTGTGGTCTGCTCCAAGCCTCCTTTGTAGGAGGCAGTAGACCAAAGTACTAAGATTTGAAGTTGCAACAAATGGTGGGAGGCAGTAGACCAAAGTACTAAGATTGAAGTTGCAACAGATGTTGCAAGGCTTAATGTAATCTCAAGGCTTGTTGTAATCCAAACTTTCTATCAGGGAGAGCCCTGAGGCTTGACTGTAAACTCTGAGGTGCCAAACAGCTATGTAAGAGAAGGCAATCTGATTATAACGAGTCCTAGTGGACCTTGGGTTGAGTTACATCTCGGGAGTGGCTCCTTTTGATGCTCCTTATAGAGCTGGCTGGTTCGTGTGTGCTGGTTACTCTAATGGAGACTGGCCAAGTCTAGGAAGGTCTGGCAAGCTATACAGTCTTCAAGTTTATCTCAGTCTGAAAGCGTGATTTTACAATTTTAAAATTACTGTGCTAAATAAAATGAACAAAAATCCTTCCACAGGTTCGACAACTTGAGTCTCTGCTCTGCGGTAATGAAAAGCCATCCCGACTCATCTGGACCTCTTCCAGCAATGCCAGGGAATCTGCCTTTAGCCTGTCTGATTATCAGCATGCCAAGGGCCAGGAGTCATACAGCTCCTCCAAATATGCTACTGACCTGACAAGTGTGGTTCTAAACAGGAAACTCAATGAGCAGGTAATGGTGTTTGTATGTATAAAAAAAAAATCCATAATTAGCTACTATTACTTATACCTGTCATCAAGTTGTTTTTACGTCATTGCATTCATTCGCAGTAATTTTGATAAGTTCTTTAATGGTCATGTAAGAAGCTGAACTAGTGGTGTTGGTGGTAAGAGGCAGCTAAGCTGCTTGCAAATCCTCCTTGTTGGGGAATATGCTGTGGAGGTTGTTTTGTCTTTTACTTTTTGATAATGGATTTGTCTGAAAGCAGAAATAATTAGGAGAGCTTCCCTTGCAAACTATAGCCTTGTCTTTAGACTAAATAATTGATCTTACAAAGCACAGAACTGCTCCTCAGGCTGCCTTTACTTCTGGTGTACCTGCCTCACAGCAAACTGCCCTGGCCGCTTTGCTGCAAGTGCTCCATGTGCAGGTGCTGCAGGCTGCTCGAAGCTGGTGCCTGAGCCTGCCACACATGGGCAGATTGCTCGTGGGCCTTCGTCACAGGCTGCCAGCACTGCTGAAGTGTGTTCAGCCTGAGTTCAGGAAAAATGATTCAAATCTTGCAGCTTGGGTTCTTCAGGATGGGTCTCTGAGGTACTGGAGTGGGCTGCAGTTTGCTGGGTGGCTGCCGTAGTGGCTGGGGTGTATAGGGATTAACAGCATGGGATCCTGATCCGTGCTGGGAGACTGCTTTCTGTTGTGGGCTTGTGGGAGCCCCAAATCATTGAATTTGAACCCTTAATTAGGGCCCTTGAGGTCATTTGTTTTCTGTAGTTCTTGTGTCTTTGGAGAAGAGATTTCCCCTCCTTATAACTTCGGTATACTCACCCTTCAATATTTCCCATCAAGAAAATAACAGGAAAGGGCTTGTCCCACTTGTAACTTAACCCCTCTATTTCCAGACTGACTCTACTTCTTCTCTGCAGGGCCTGTATTCCAGTGTGGTTTGTCCTGGTCTTGTTATGTCTAACATGACATACAGGATTTTGCCAGTTTTTATATGGAAGTTACTGATGCCCATCCTGTGGCTGGTAAGTGGTGCTCCATGTTGGGTTTTTGGAGCCTCTTTGCCCTGGGGTGGTGTATGTCACAAAGTGATGAATGTGGTGTGCTCGTAGCTCCTTGCTGCTGGTGTTACAGCTGGCTGTTCTCTGTTGGAATGGGCTGGAGAGGGAAGATGTTCCTTGAAAATCGCTGATTGACTCTTAGTGACCTTGTGGGGCTGCAGGCTTTGAGGCTAATAACATCCTCTTAACTCTCAGGCACGTGGGTACTACTGCTTATGGTGGCAGCTCACTTGCCTGCTCTGACTTGTGTGACTACAACTGGGGCAATGGTGCTAAATACCTGTAATCTGCACTCTGGATAGCTCAACCCAGGGGAGAGGGGCCTGTTCTCAGCATTGACTCTGCGTTTCTGCTGCTTCTGGCCTAGTCTTCCAGTGCATATATTGAACACAGAGCTTGGGGTGTGATGGGGAAGGCTTTGCTGCAGGGACTGCAGCCTCTGGGTACTGAGCAGAGGGCACAGCAGTATCTCTATTCTGTTGTGGGCTCCTAATACAAAAATAAAGTAGAAATGAGAGGTAGAGGAGGTTTAGCTGGGCTTTGTAACCTGCCCTTTGGCATCTTGGCACCTGGTTCCAAACGGAATTCCTCTGACCCCTAAGCCAATGTTGCTGGATAGCTGTGTAAATAGATGTGGTTTAGCCCTTAAATCATGGCAGCCCTCTTAAAGGCTCCCCTTCAGAAGGCTTTCTAGCATGTTGTTGAGTTAAGTCTTGGTGGCAGCACAACTTGTGTACAGAACTTGTTCCCTGTACCTTGAAATGCTGCTTGCTTCTAGAATGCAAGAATCTTTTCAATGTTCTGGAAACAGTCTCCTACTCTCTATGGCCTTTCTCTTGCTTTCTAAAAGCTTTTTTTTCCTCCCTGGCTCCAGCTATCAGATTCAGTGTATCCTTGTACGCAGGGCGCTTGCTCTGAGCCCTGGGGCTGCTGCTGCAAGATCTGCCTTCCTGCCTAAGTGGTCTAGGGTGGCAGCTGATCCTGGCAGATCACCTTTCTCCTGTCAGTGGGTTAAGACCTTGTTCACCCTGCTGTGCTGCTAGTGTTGCAGTTTCTCTCTGCCTCCCCCTCATGCAGTGCTGAGACCACTGAAGAAAAGGTGCCTGCAAAGCACGTTGCCTCTTGCTGTGGGAACCAGCTGTGTGTGGAGGTCTGGTGCAAGGGCGTGTAGAGCTTGTGAGGATAAAGGGTTGCATGTTAGTCATAGTGCAGAGTTAATTGCAGAAACGCTTTCTGAAGCCTGTGGTGGTAAACCTTGTATTGATGGGCTGCAGTGGGCTTGTCCAAGAAATTTTGGGCTAGTGTTGCTGGTTCTAACATGTATTTCCTTTCCCTCAGATACGATTTTTTGCCAAAACCTACACTTTGACACCATATAATGGAGCCGAAGCTCATGTAAGTAGTTGGGCAACTTGATTTTAAGTCCTTTCTCAGTTAGCTCTTCCCAGTATCTGCTGGCTGCAGTAAATAGCCCCTCTGTAGGACTGAGGGGTGTGCACGTCCTCCTGAACAGCGTGCAGTGGTGAATAGGGGGGGACCAGTTGTGATCAGGACTGATTCAACAGGTGATACTTGGGCTTCATTAGGTCCCTATAAAAGAAATTATTTCAGAAACTGTTCCTTCCATCTGTGTCAAGGGGCGTGTTGTTTGGCTTGGGGTCTGTCAGCCACGGGCACGTTGTCGCGCGGGAAGGAGATGGGAATTCGGGGTGCTGGGATGGGGCTGTGCTGGGTTCTGCACACAGCTGTGCTCTTTTTCCTAGGTGTGGTTGTTCAAACAAAAGCCTGAGTCCCTGGATGCACTTGTCAAATACCACAGCTGCACTTCTGGACTGGGAAAGAATTACGTGGAGCCCAGAAAGGTAAATGGGAAAATGGATTCCTGCAAGGGGGCTTGGCTAGGGCCCTGCTTTGTGCTCCCTTCATGGAAGGGTTAGTACATGGGGTATCCTGCCAGTGGTGTGGAAGCAAGGTGCGTGCTAAATGCTGAGCAGCAGTGATGGGTAGGCTTATACCAGGTTTTACTAGAGTAACTCCTGGCCACCAGCCTCAGGTTGGAGTCTGCAAATTTCCAGGAAGAGACCCGGGAAGGCTTCCTGCAGAGGGTGTGAAGCTTAGTGGACTGGATAGGAAGAGGACATTAGTGTGAATGTCAAATGTAGAACAGATGGGAAAGGTCTGCTGCATGCTTTCCAATAAGTATAGCTGGGAGGAACCTATGGATTTCCTCCCCTTGGATGTTGCAAAGCAGCACATCTGTAGAGTGCCAGGGATTGTAGGCCTGACTGCACCTCTAGGGCTTTCCCAGACTGGAAGTGGGGAGAAAAGCAAACTGCAGTGTTAAACAGGCCGAGTGCTGTTTGTTCCTTGCTTGCATGATTCTTTTGGGGTGCAGGGCTGTGAGGAATAAGTGGTCTGGAGAGCCAAGAAGCAGCAGTGGGATACCTGCAGAGCTTAGCTTAGTGAACACAGCTGGGATGCCTTCACTACCTTGCTGGCTGCTATCAAAGGGTCTCAGTATTGCTCTCTTTCTCTTTCAGATGGATATTGATGAAGAAGTTGCTGAAAAGTTTTATGAAAAGCTCTTGGAACTGGAGAAGCAGATTCTAGAGAGATATGATGATCTCTTAGATGATGATAAGTAAAGCCAGTCTCAGTGGGTACCAAGCTTTTATCAATGACATGGGCTTTCTTCATTCTGGTGCTATTTGTGGTGCCTGCTGGTCTGTGGGCATGTGACTTCAGAACTCATCTTCCTTCTCTACAGAAGGTGAACAATTCCTGAAAATGGAAATGTGGAAACTGAAGAGAAATACATAGTCTTTCTGGTATGGGTTTTTTCCTGGAATAAAACTGGAGACCTACTGTGGGCGGAGACTGTCTTAAGACTGAGCTTTTTCTCATAAAGCTTGACTGAACTGTGTACAGTTCAGGAACAGCCTGAACATGTGGTTTAAACTGGCTTGCTGCAGGAAAGGCAAGGGGTGTTGCTTCAACTCCTGGCTCTGCTGGTCTTGCCACATGGCTTGGACACTACCTGTGGCTAATTCTCAAGTACTTGAAGGCCTCATCTTCAGAAGAGCTGTTTTTGCATTTCAGACATGCTCAGAAAGACTGCTCCTTATTGAAAGTCAGGCTTTTTAAAGCATCTGAAGCGCAAAGCTCCTGGGTAGTCTTATAATGAAAATATCTCCCTTGCCTCAACGGTGCCTTGAGAGATGCCTTGCTGCAGGAGAGGTGCGAGCTGGCCCTGGATGTGGGACCAAATGTTCTAACCATGGCAGGCTGGAAAGACTGCTGAACTGTGGATGGCGTTAACCCAGTTTTAGAGCTATTCCGTTTTCTTCATAGCAAGAAGGAGAGGTTGCCCTGTTTTAATTATTAATTTGTCTTTTTACTTTATCAAGTATTCTTCCTGAGGTTTATCTTGAGCTTTGAGTACCTGGTGTACTTCAAATTCTGCTACAAATAAATAATTGGAACTGACTTGTGTCTTTGCTGCAATGGGGTCTTTACTCAACTGAATGCCTTTGGAGGGCTGGGATGGAGTATGTGTGTTGTCTTCCTGCACAATAACTCTGTATATACCTGGAAAAGTGGTGGGGCTGTGGTGCTGTTTTCTTCAACCACCCACTTGGGCTTGTCAAGGCTTTAATGCTCATGGTAGATGGTCTCTTGAGAGTCTTTGGAGTTTAGCTGCAGTCTGTGCTACTCAGTTCCTGTTTGGCTGGTATGTAATGTAGGGTGTTTTATGCTTCTGCAAATAAATAGGGGTGCCCAGCACAGCAGTATGAAGGGCAGAAGACTCTTCCTTGGAGAGCCCTTGAGCTTGCCAACTGTGTAGCAGTAAGGGAGGACTTTTTGCCTTCAATTTAGGCAAACTGAGTGCCTGGGACTGTATTTGCCAGCCTTAAGCACTGGGGAGAACTGAATGCTCTGGCACTTGACTCAGCACATACTTCTAGATTAAATATGACTTTAAGCTGGCTCCAGCTGTGTTTGGGCACTTCCCTGGGGACCAGCAGGAACCGACATGCTAGGATGAAGGCTGTGCTGTTCAGCTCTGCAATCACTCACTCCCAATGCTGGTTCTCTGCAGACAAGGGCACCTGGGCTCTGCAGGAAAGACAGTTCTCAGCCTGGTGCACCCTGCTGCAAGTGCTGGAGTTGCCAGAAATAAGGTTAGCTGTGGTGTCTGTGGGGGAGGCAGCCAGTGGCACAGGCACCGAGTTGGCACTCGGAACATGTAAGTGCCCTGATAATTTTGCTGTGTGCTTGCCTGGGCTGTGCACGTGGAGCTGTGGCTCTGCACAGCGCGGTGTGAAGGGCTGTGGCCAGGGCCCCTCTCTGCTGTGCTGCCTGGGGCTGCAGTGCCCACGCGGCTAAGGAGCTGCTGAGAGATGGTCACAGGCTGCCTGGTCCTTGGGCCTGATCCCTGCCACATCACAGGGGTTAGGTTAGTGCCCTGATAATTTTGCTGTGCGCTTGCCTGGGCTGTGGCAGGATCTGTTCACTCCTAGGTTCCCCCCACCCATCTTCTAGCTGGAGGCACCCAGCCTGCTTGGCCAGTCCTTCTGGGAAAATGATTCCTCTTTTAGTTCCTTGCTCTTAACTGCCCCATTTGCTTTTGGAATGGGATGTGTGGAACAGCATATGTTGTTCAGAAGTTTCATGTGGTGCTGTTGTCTATCTGCCCTTGTGCCCTTTGGCAGTCTGGGCTGCTGAAGTAAGTGTAAATTACTGGGATGGGATGTGCGGGAGGTTCTTACGCCAAGTTAATCACATGTTGCTCTGTACCTTCTTTCTAGGAGGCAGCTACAAGCTGGCTCTGAGAATGGATGCAATGCAGAGCAATGGTGCTGTAGCTGTAATAGTTCGAGTGGTCTTGCAAGTCTGAGTTTTTATTTTTCTCTCAAGTATGCATCTGTGGACTAAGCACAAGTATGTGCTCATGTAAGGAGAAGCTACGGCTGATTAGAAGGGGCAAGTCCCTCTTGCCCATGGAGTGTGCAGTGGTTGATAAGGGGAGAGGAGGGTACTATGCTAATACCAATCTTCAGTTATTCATGATTTTGGCATCACATAGAGTTACTAACAGATTATCTAATTCATCTTTAGAGCATGTTGTAAGCCTCCCTTGAAGATCTGGAGTTTAAGATTAGAGGAGTGAGTGTGTGTGTGTGTATGTTCTGTGTGAGCTCAGCCTGGTGCCTGGTTTAGTTTCATCCCCTTCATTGCCTCGAAGGTGCCCGGAGCACTGTGGGGTTCATTGCATTCTGTGAAACACGAGCGTGGGATCGGGGAGTTGCGGCACCTCTGGGAGGTGGCTGACGTTAGGGGAATTCTGCTTTAAGGTTTGACCAAGATCCATTTGATTCATGTTTGCTTGTTATCGATACGTTTTGTTTCCTCTGTCACCTCCTTCATTTCTAAGCTTACTAGGAACTAGCTAATCTGAGAAATGCTGGTGTGAAGGGCCCATGGTCTCTAGTTCAGCCTCCATCTCAGGCCAAGTTGAACGAGGAAGGAGTAATAGGAGCTAAAGCACAATCTAAGCATTATAGAGATGGAGAGATAGGAAGATCTTGTGGTTTCCTGTGAGCTCAGCTCTGTGTGAAGCCTGGAGATGAACAATTAGCCCAGCAGTTTCCTGAACTTGGAATGCAGGCTGCCCAACAGGCATGGCCCGGCTGGCTGAGCTGCTCACTGCTCTCAGGGAGCTTTGCTCGGAGAGCTGCTGCCCCAAAGGAAGGCTCAGAGCACATGGGGTCGTGCGAGGAGAAAGGACCGGGTTGTCCTAATTCCACACCTCTGCCCACTTTACTAGGAGTATCCCATACGTCCTGGGCTGCCTTGTGCCAGCAGGCAGATGGAGAGAGTTAACAGGGTGGTAGGAGAGGGTGTGAACAGAGTGTGTGCCAAGCGATCAGGCAAGACTGGGAGGTACTGGGTTCTCACACAACCTCCCACCAGCGGCCGTTGGGCCACACAAGATGTCTGCAGGCTGTAGCTCTGCTGCTGAGCTCCTATTGCAGCACGCAGCATGGCCTGAAGAGGTTCTATGGAGCTGGGAGTGCTTCTGGGCTCGCTACATGCTGTGCCCAGCTGGGTTTCCCTGGAGAGCGTTTGCAACTCTTCTGGCTCAGAAACCCGACCAGCTTTGTCTCCAAGAGGCAAACACAGAGGCCCTATGACCTTCATGTCCTGCACATGGCCTTCAAAGCTGGTGACTGGGCTGGAATGCTGAGAGTCGGAATTTTGCACCATGGCCCTCTAAGTGTGATTCGTTCACTACTCTCAGTGCGATGGTGACTGCAGCCTGAGTTGTGCTGTGCCCTCCTGGTTTGGTCCCTTGCCATGAAAACAACCCCTGTGCAGGATGAGGTGTCTGTGTCTGAGCTGGGGTGATGCAGGCAGGTTACAAATGCCAGGGACTGACAAAGATGAGGAACTTGGCAGTTGTCAGTCAGTGCTAAAATTAGAGTTTTCTGTTTATAACCCTTAGATAAGAAGCTTTTGAGAGCACGAAGGCTTGGAAAGGTTGCCATGTGGTGTTTGTACACCTGGGCTTGGGGATCTTCCCTTGTCAATAAACACAGTCGGTTTCGGGGTGTCAGTTTCCTGTCATAATGGGCAAATGAGCTGCCTTGCTCCAAGAACAGTTGGGGCTCACCATCATTTACTGCTCAGCTGGCTAAACTATGCAGGGTGCTGATGAGAGCAGCATGTAGAAACTGCAGCCTGATGTGTGGCCAAGGGAGGAGGTGGTGGTGGCGGCTTATCATGTGTCTGGTTGTGTTGAAATCCACTGTGTGGAGCTTGTTTTGCTTCTTTAGAAAGTGAATTGGCAGGCAAGGTGGTCTAAGGAATCAATAAGGACCCTGTGTGACCCTATGGACATGAGAGAACAAGTTTCTTTGGAAACCTGGAACCCAAAATCAAAGATCAAGGAGGTACAAAAATGGGCAGTAAATCCTTTATTTATCTTGTTAATAGATTATCTTGAATAAAAGGAAAGCTTTTCTAACTAACATTTTTGACAGCCACATTTACTGAGAGGAGCCTGACAGAACCCTTCTCAGGGATGCTGCATCAAATGCTGTGTGTCAAACCAGCGCATTAGTAAAAGAGATTACAGTGCTGACAGATGAACGACCAGGGCTGGGTGATATTCGTCCCGAGGCAGTGTAGCTGAACTCATAACTGTGCATTTATTTTCTCCTTTAAAGCAGCCTCAAGCAAGCAAACCCAAGGAGGTGGTTTGGTACGCAGCCTTTGGCCCCATAGCACTGGAACACTGTGGAGACCTTGACATGCTTGTGTGCTCCTGAGATTCATCTCTCAGATTGGGCAATGCCGTGACTTGTCGTGGCCCACACCTCTGGGGAGCGAGTGCAAGGTGGGTGAGTGCTATCTCACATCCTCCCCATGTGATTAGTTGGTGGTGAGCCAGCAAAAGCCAACCTGGTGAGATAAGGCTATTTCCAAGCAGCTGTGCATGGAGCTTGCACAGTTCCTGCAGCCTGGAAGGCTGTCAGCCCTGTGTTGTTCAGGGACATGTGCTGCAAGGCTCCAGGCACTAGTGATTTGGGTTTAAAAGGCAGTAACACTGCTCGGTGGCAGCGTAACTTTATCATGACCTTTAAATCCTCAAAGCACCTGGCAACACTCTGCCCTGGAGCAGCCCGACTGCTGGTGGCAGCTACAGCTCTGGAGGGCTGCATCGTTTCCCTGCCCCAAATTCTCTGAATACCTTTCAGCAAGTCATGGCTTTTCTTCCTGGGGCAATTTTGGGATTGACTAAGGCTTTCCCTGGTGTATCCAGCAGTTGTCCACCAAACTCCAGATAGGCCTCATGTCTGGAGCAGGATGTGTTGTCC